TAAACTTTAAAACAATAACAGGTAATTTATTGCACAAATCCAAAACAAGCAGATGTAGGTGAAAAAACAGAAGACAGAGAAAAAAAAGACACTGTGCAATGAGCTAGATCCCAGCATAACTCAAACTATCTTGAACCTTCAGTCAGGTATCAGGACCACTCAGATGGTTTCCTACCTTTTCTTTCTAAGAACAGAGGCTTCAAGGAGTAAAAGGAGAGTGTTGAGGTGAAATCATGTGCTATTTATAGAAAAGTCTGCTTTTTATTCACTGGTTGGTTTTTTTTTTGGTTTTGTAGCATTCAGCTGTTCTTTGTTGTACAGGAATAAAAGTTCAGTTTTGAAAATATGCAAGAACAAAGCTGTAGAAATTGCCTGGAATTTCATCCATTTTCAGCCATCTGGCTTTCATTGCTTTACTTCTCTCTCCACTCCTCCATATATGTTTAGCAAATCTTTTTAATGTGCATTGACTGAGCAATTGAGAGAAGTTATAATTAATAACACAGCCACAACATTCTCTTTCACCCCTTTGGTAGAATTTTTTGGCTTACCATGAGGTGCTCATGCTGTTGCTGTTAAAAACAAGAGCAATTGTATCTGATTAGATGATGACTGCCTCTGTGTTTTGGGTTGTGGAGGCTGAGGAAAAGACACATTTTGGATGTGAATTATTTTGTTGTTGAAGACAGTAAAGTCAACATTGAAACAGGGTTTTGCTGATTGTCTTTGGAGTAATTTAGAAGACAAACATAGCAATTAGCAAAACTGAATGAACTGCCCTTTTGTTTTTGAGCTTAGAGAAGAAACTTCTAGACATTGAACAGCTATTCTGCATTTACTTCTGGGAAGATTGAGCTCTGCTCAAGTACTGCTGTGTAATTCTGGAAGTGATATAGCTTGATTGACACAAATAAAGTAACTGAATGACTGAATTAAAATAGCCATAGTCTTCATTCCTCATTTTCCTGGAGAAAGCATGCTGGGTCTCCCAGTACATCAAAACAGGCTATTTCCTTTTTATAGAAATAGCAAACAAGGGCATACAAAGTTAATGATAAGAAATTTCACTTTGTACCTACTGTGCTGAATATCAGTTATTAGCTCCCAACTTAGCAATCAGCTCCAGAGTGTTTCACTATTTCTTAGTTCAGTGCAAAATGAGAATTTTTCTTATATTCTTTTCCAGGAGAAAAGGGACTGGGCTCTTTTTCTGCTATTGTTCTTGAAGAAATAAGCAAAAAACTCTCAACAAAGTCTAAAACCACAGGAAACTCAGCTGCTTTGGGATTTGAATGTGGATGAAATCTTCCACTTTTTGTGTGCAACTCTTCCTGGCTCTTCTTCTATCTTCTGTAAGAATTTTATGCATGAAATTTTGCTGACTCCATACAGCTACGAATATTTGAAGATAGATTTCTGTGGTTTAGTTTTTCTGTCTCTCTTCAATGGACTCAGAATAGTAATGTGCTAAGATATTAAGCCAGAATTTCAATGGAAATTATAAAGCTCTCTCAGTTGCTATACAAGCACCATCACCTTTCAGTGTTTTCATAAATCTGAAGTACTGCCAGTGTATTCTAGCTTTTACCATATTTTGGTCCAGAAGAGTCCAGAGCAATTAGGAATTGAAGAGGATGATGATACCACAGTCTAATTTCAAGGTGAAGTATTAAGTGAGTAACGAAGACTTCTAGTCCATACACATTTATTCTCAATAGGGAGCACAAAGAACAGCAACAGTGAAGATCCCTTTGGTATCACTCTTCTTAAATGTCCAAAGACAATGATGAAACAAAACCAGAACAAAATTACTCTTCACTGATTACTCCTACAGTATCTGTCTTGAGGCGTTTGCCTTCTGACCCTCCAGAAAGGCTGACTAGATTCTGGGGTTCAATGCTTTTGTTTATCTATACTAAACCAGTTAAACCAATTGCTGACCAGGAGAGGCTTCCACAACTAACCCTTTGAGAGGCTACGGAGAATACCACATCTAACCAAAAGTGACTGAAGCAGAAGCAACATTAAGCGTGGAAGTTCTAATTTTTAAATGTTCTCCCTCTTAAGCTAAACAAGATCTTGAACTGTATTAAATTCTAGGCATATGTATTAAATTCTAAGCATGCTGGGCTATTTTGGTTCAAGAAACATCACTGGAATAATTTCTTTAAATATATTAGGAGGGAATTTTCATTCTCTTGGGCAAGACTTCTCAGCTTTTTCTTCATGCTGTGAACAACATTCCCTTGTCTACTGAGACATTCATCACCATCTCAGTTACCTTTTCAGCAGACTGCCTCATCTACCCACCACAACTGCATTCTCCAACAGTCACACATCAAGGATATTTTAGGAAAGTGCTTTTTATATTTTTTGCTTCTGTTAATGCATTTTAGCAGCTGGAAAACAGAGAGAAGAGCCAACACTGTGAGACCAGACAGCTCTCTCTATAAGCTGTCAGTGAAAGCTCTGGGAAGTATCAGTGGTTCACAGTTCACATTTTGGGAACGTCTATAACAGGGGTCTAAGTTCGCAGCCACAGTGTATTACAAGTTTTGGACTTGTCAGTCGATATCAATGGCTTAATTAGCATTCACAAGGACAGTATGTTAGCCTAAATTTCCATCAGATTCCTGGATCAAGATTTTTTGAATTAGAATCCTGAAGCATATTATGATTAAAACAAAGAGAAACCCCTTAAAGCCTTATTTTTTTTTTTTCCCTTGTGTTCTCTTTGGAAGTCTTAAGATTGTTGTAATTAATGATTACAAAGCAATAATCTTTATACACTAAATACTATCATTTTAATTACTATACCATTGTATTTAGTACAGGGGCATTAGTAGATGTAGCATTTCAGAAGCTTGCAGGAAATAAGGAAGTTATTCTGTCACATTCTGCCTGGAAGACACATCAACTTTCCTTCTTGCCTCTCTTTCCATTAACCACGCTGCCTGCTGTCTGCAGCCTTGAGTTTTAGGCCTCCTTGTTCTTACCAGAGGAGCCATTTTGCAGAACACGTGCTGCTCATCATCCTGTGCCACTTAAATCTCTGCAGACAGGCAATTTCCTCCAGACTGAGGGGGCTGGAAGGAGATGAGATGTATATACAGGGAAAGGACTCATTTCCCTTTTTCTCAATTGCACCCGTAGGGGTGAATGAAAGCTTCTTAGTCTCCTTCTGCAGCCTCAATCCCCTTTCACCTCTGCTTCATGGCCTGATTCTCACCCAAAGTACGACCATCCTGTAAGTCATGGAGTGAGCTACATGCCTAAGGTCACTTTAAACTAGCTCCACTCTGGTAGCGAGGTTACCACAGTGGTATGGATTATCATACAGACTAATTCAAAAAGTATTCACCTAATTTCTCAGACTACTTTTGTAACAGAACTCACATAAATACTGCTCTACATGAATGTGCCTTATTTTTTCTTAACCAGTGAATATTTATTTTCCATGTCAGAATCAATGGGTGATCAATCCTCTGCCATGCACTCTCAGCTTTAGTGATGCTGCCACCTATCAATTACAGTGAGACTTCCACCTACAAAGTTCTTTTCAAGCATTAATATAATATTTGCCTGTTATTGCCAGCATTACAGACAATGTAACACAGTCAGGGTCGCAATATCCTCATAAGCAATTCTTACAATATTTTGGTGAAAAGTGTCAACATATTTGGGTCTCCTTGTCACAGACTCAAAATCCTGATCATCCAATCAAATCGTTATTTCTGTCCTTATCATTCTTGGATGCTGGCCATATTTGATTTTTAATATAGAACCTTCTTTGTGTACCCAAAATCTACTAACATTTGTAACAATATACCTCTGTATAGCCTGCTGTCATATAAAGCATACATACACCTACCAGTATACACTCTAAGGAATATTTACCACCTGGGCAGAAAGGAGTGTTTTAAATTGTCCAAAGTTATAAATCGATGTATTTCAAGTCTGCCTACTACTAGAAGAGAATAAATGCACCTGTGTACAGCTGGGAATAAAGACAGTATATATACAGTACACCTTGAAGACCTGACAGTTCCAGATCTATTTAAATAAACCACAGGAACCTCATGACAGTTATTTTCTGTCATAGGGACTACAGATGTGAATCCCTGCAGACAAAGATCTGCTGTTTTTAGGGTCAGGATTGTGGAAGATGCCTGAGGCTAGGAACAAGTCCTTCAAAATCTTTTGTGAGAGAGGAGGTTGGAGAAGTCTCCTGAAACTTAACACAACTCTGGGTCAAGTTAAGCCAATCCATAAACTATCTGCCTGCAGGACCTGAATAGGCAAGTGGTCTGAAGTTTTGGTTTTACCACCGCTTTGCACTTCCCAGTCAGTGTGACTGTGGTGTGAAGAGGCTGTAAGCCCCTGTAGTTTGACAAAGAGCATGTTTGAGGCAGTGCATGCCTCCAGACTGAAAAACCATTGAGTCTGCAGTCACATTTATTTAAAATTCTTTTTTTTCCTACTGCTAGTGTTGTTTAAATGGCTCTGGGCAACATACTGGACTATAACCACCCACACTTGTATATTTGTTTCACTTTTGTCTTGGGTTCCTCAAAATCCATAAAATGATGTCTGGACAAGACTGACGCGCCCTGGCCCGGGTATCCTCACCTGCAATAACAACAGCCCGGCTGTGCCGATCTGCTACTTTATGCAGTGGCAGAGTTTTACTCACTCACATCACCTCTGCTCACTTCACATCAGTTAAAAGGAGTCCCAGGGAGAGTGACACAGATCTGCTGAGCCCAGGCAGCTGAGGCTCCGGTGCTGTAACCTGGGGAGCCATCTCCGGCTCTCGTCTGCGTGTTTTACTCCTGTAATTCAGAAGTCATTTCAGTAATGCCCAGATCCAAGCATCCCTGGCCCTGAGCATCTCAGGTTCATGGGAGCTGGAAGATCAGTTTCTCAACTTCATCAGTGATCACATCTCTCTTAAATCTGGAGAAAAATGTATGCCTGGTGATAAGATATAAGAAGCCTACCTTGGCGGGCAGGGGTCCAGGCTACAGGCTTTCAGCAGCTGTGGAGGACGGCGGCTGGTTACACACAGCGTCTCGTCTGCAGTCTCCCTGGTTTGTTTGTTCAGACAGGTCACCACAGCCTCCTGGACACCTGCACACAACAACGCACGGTCACAATCAGCTCTCCATACCCAGAGGGGCAGCCGAGGGCAGAGATGTGCCTGGAGGGGCCAGCAGGGCTGTGTTGGGGCTACTGCCTGTGGGAAAGGACAGCCCTACGCCCAGGGCTGCCAGCTCAGGGGCTGCAGGCCCGGCTGCAGAGAGGGAGGAGGCTGCATCGCACACGGCAGTGAGGTGTTTGCTGTCCACATCCATGTGCTCTGCCTGATGATCTTTGAGGAATATGGTATGAATATTTATCAAAGGGGGATGTTTCTTGGCACAGCGTACCTGACCAAGTAGGAAAAATCGCAGTTCTTTTTCTCCCTTCTTTTGGGAAAAACCTTCGTCTATAACTGTTGTAATTTTCCACAGTCACACACTGCTTACTGCACCTTTTGTATCCTATTCCCTAGCTACCTGGGAAATGGCCTGATCAAAACACTGTATGGGATGCTGAGTTTTACTTGCCCTTGCTTCCAGTCAAGTGCAGTGAGAAGTCCCTAGGTTCACTCACCACTTACTTTCCCTGGACAGAAAATTGTCCAGTGCTCTCTTCTAGTCACTCATCCTTTCACTACGAGTGCAATGAGGCTGTTTATCTGTCAGTCAAGTAGGCTAAGGTGTGAAAATGCCTTGACTTTGGCATGCTATATTTTAAGCAACAGTGTGATTGTTATACATGCAAAAGTAAAGTAAAACAAGGTTAGACAATTCAGCTGCTCTCAGTTACTTTTCTACCTCCACAGACCTGCACCTAAACTGAAGACGCAAACCTGCAGGGTGTATCTGAGAGCTGGGACAGAACAAGGGTGGCTGTTGGGACTAAGAGAAGCTGGAATATGTGGCAATTACGTTTTAACTGATGAAATCCTTAGTGATACCAAGTTCCTTATGTACTGTTCAGCATATCAGTTACTCTGTTTCACTTTTCCTATGAGTAAGGTAGGAATATAACAGTTCCTTTGGATCATAATCTTAGAAAGATAGAAAATCGGGGATTGCAACACTGCATGCCATAGGAAAGACTAGTTAGTCAAAGAAGGTCTACTTCTTCCCCAGTGGGTCTAAGGATAATAATTGGCCTGAACTGACTGAAAATCTAATCCACAGTGGTTCAAGCAAAGTGGAATTACGCTTTTTACACTCATCCCTACTCCTGAGTTAGAAAAAAAGTAGCTGAACTCATAACAATTGCATTATCTTCTCAAAACCAACCATTAGTTTTCCAAAATATCTCAGAATCAATGATGTTGGAAGAGCTTGAACAGCTCCAAGGGCAGTGTAACAGAACTGACAATATCTTCTGCTGTTCCGAATGCCAGAACACATGTTGTCAGGCAAAAAATGGTATCCTATCATGCAACAGGACCAAAGTGCTGCAACTCATCATAATTTTGGTACTCCTGAAATTATTCATGGATTTATTCCCCTTATTCTTAGTACAGGCTGAGGAGATGCCCACAGCAAAGAGGCACTTTGAGCATTTTATTGTCTCCTACATATGGAAGCCTATTCGGGGCATGCCTAAGAATCAAGGATAGGCAGTGTCTCCACTGTACTCAAGGTGCTGAACAGAAGAAAGACGTCTGATATTTTTGGATATGGACCTCAATATCAAAATTACCCAACTCCCTAAAGTCAGCCAACATTATTGTGGGTTTCCTTTACAAGGTGGCCCCGTATTTCAAGTTGTTTTGCTATTCAAGTAATCTCCCAAAAGACTTAAACAAATTGTACAAAGGATAGCTCACTGAAACAAGAAAAAAAATGGTAGTGATTTGTTTCTAGGAAAGGAAACCAGTGAAATTTCTACCCTGTTGAGTATCTTTCCAGCCTAATCATTTTTCTGTTGAGCATGTTATCATATTGTGTACAGCAAACAGAGACGTACAGATTCCCCAAGACAGACTGTTCCTGGCTGCAGAGCAGAGGTGGTTCTCTACCTGAGAGCACTGTGTTCAAGTTACCAGTCTCTACTTTGCATTGATCACTTGTGTAGGTCTGACAGCAAGACCAATCTGATGAATCCAGGAGAGAAGGACTGCTAATCCAGAGGTATGGGATCCAGGAAAGTACTCTTAACTCCGTGGAAAGAAGCCACCAAGTCCTGCCACATGCTGGTGACATCATTCTGTTTTCTAGGTATGCAGCTCACTCACTGTCTATCTGTATGTGGTGGACGTTTTTCTTTTCAGATCAAAATTTTGTAAACCGAATGTACTTCCACAGATTCAGTTTCTCCTCTCTGAAGTGTGTCACTAATGAGCTCTTGATCAATGATTATCAACTACCTTAACACTTTTGCATTGTCTGTTTCAGTGCTGACTATCCAAAAGTGATTAACTGTGAGGTCTTGAATTCAGTCTTTTCTGTTTCTCAGACTGATCTGAGCTCTGATACCACTGCTCTTCACATTTCGGCATTCAACCTTCCCCAAACCTCCCAGTGAGTTCATTCCCCATGCTTATTCATGTGACCTAAGCCATCTCTGATTTTATTTCCAATAATTTTAGTTTATCCTATCAGCATTCTTCTCTGCTTATTATAATTTCCTTTCAGAGATTCCTACAACTTTCTATCTTTTAAAGGTACTGGTAAGATAAATAATCTTGCCTGACTGCATGGGTATTGAAGATAAAGGCTCTTGCCTGAATTTTACCAGTTTGCAGTTGCTAGACTATGTATTGATAGAAGTTTCTGGCTCTAAGAGCTTGTGCCAGCAACTAAAAAAAAAAAAAAATCTAGCTTGCTGCAGTAGCAAACAAATGTGTTCAGAATCACTTTCTTCAGCTTCTCCTTGAATCTCACACTGAATGTGTCTCAGCATAGTGATAACATCTGCCCCTCTGTTTTTGACAAATCAGTGCAGCAAATGGATACAAGCTTTAAACCAAGGATGGACCATTGAATGTTTAGAGAATATAAAGATCTTTGATTATCAATAGGAAGTTCCATGGTATAGAGATAATTAAAAAAAGTATTTGAACTTCAGGAAGTTTATTTGCCAAGTAACTGAATTCTAAACATTATTTGCTGCACAGTATTACCAGAACAAAAATGTTATCTGCTTTTAAATTGCTTTCCCTGAAAAAAAGAAATCAGTTCTCAGTAGGAAATCCCAGTATAAAAGGGTGTAAGGATGGGATGTGAATCTAGGCAGTTTAAGTTCACCCTCAAAATACCATCCAAAGAGATTTTCTGTGTTTATATCTACCAGAATAGAATAATTGTTACATGTTATTTGATGATAGCTCTGGGAAATCCAGCCACTAACAGCAGACTAAATGACTAACTAATTCCTTCTGGTTGCTGCTTCTGGCAGGTGAAAGGTTACTTCTGCATCTATCCAATTTCTTCTCTTGAGACTCCAAAACCAATAAAATTAGTTTGACCAGTCTTGCACCTATGGCTACAAAAATGTCTGACTTAGCATCTGCTAATCTGGAAAATTTGGAGTTGATGTCAGACAAAAAGAAATCTTGGCCAGCAATTTTTGCTGATGATTGAAAGAGATTAAATTTAAAAAGCAAAATGTCTCTGTCATATCAGTCTCTGTGAGTTATATTGGAAAAATACAGACATAGTCACTACATTCAAAGAAATTACTTCATTTCAAGAGGATATTTGTAGAAGCTATTCAGGTTTCAGCATTCACAGTGTAAGAGTGACAAATTTTTACTGATTGCTAGTAGCCTCAATATATGACCAATACTCCTGTAAAGTCAGTGTTTATCACCACTTAGCATATGCTAGTGTCATATTTTTTATGTAGGAAACAAAGCAATAGTGGCAATGATCTGACAACTGCCTGTGAACTGCTCTAAACACTGACTACTGTCAGTATGCTAAAAGTAAGCATAGAAAACCTTTGCATTATTTTCTACTGTTTTTTAAGTTTGTCGCTGTTTACTGGTGAATCTGTACAGATCACACTACTAACCACTCATAAAGCGCTCAGTGGTTTCCAGTTCTACAGTATCTATTCAGTATTTATCTATATTTATCTATATAATCCCTTTTAAAATAGCCTGAAACTTGTACCGTAAAAAGACAGCAGCTGGAGAAGTCTAGGTTTAATTTAAAAAATAGTGGAGTGGACATACTTCTCAGAATTAGCTAGACAAAATTATGGGAAAAAAGGATATCAGAGAACTGTGCACTCACAGTCTATAACATCTGGAAACTGAGACCTTGATAACTTTGAGAATCTCCAAGTGCCAAACCTTCTAGCTTCAGACTAGTGCTTCAGACCGTTAGTGCTTTTTCACCATATGTTTTCTTTTGCACTGGGATCTGAGATAATGTCACTTAATGATAGGAGTTTGGGAACCAGCTGAGCCCTTAGAATATCAATAATTTAATGGGTCTGCCATGGGAAGACAATTTGCTTCCACATGTTTATACTTGTACAGTACAAATCAAGAGACAAAAACTAAAAATGACACATGATTCTTAGCCTGTGTCACCAGACCACTTTAACATTCGGCTTTTTCGTGTGAGTGCCTTTTGAGTGATCAGCTGATACAAGGGAACAGAAATGTGTGATACATTGATCACTCTTGGTGACAGCCTGAGCACAGAGCCTGAAAGTTCTGGGCTAAAATATGTTGTGCACATGTTTTTTTTTCCACAGTTTTCATCCATGCCTTTTCAAATATGGTTGGACTAGATGATCTTAAAGGGCTCTTCCAATCTAAATGAATCTGTGATTCTAAATAGCTGTTTCAAAGCAGCAGGTCTGTGGGTATTAACTTTGAAGCACACGCTTAAGCAGGAAGAGCAAATTCAGCACAGAAACATTTTGCACTTACCTCCTCCACAGGATTCTGAACACTCTGTAAAGCCCTCGTATTCCCAGTCATAGAGCTCATCAAACTCCTGCAAGCTGCCATACAGCAGCTCAGTTTCCTCTGGGGTATATTCGGTTGCCTCCCCACTGCAGGGACCACTGTAACAGGGTCTCTGGGACACAGGTTTGGGACCTTCGCATTCATCGATGGGCAAGTCAGCCACAGACTGAGAGAAAGAGAGGAGCACTTGACATTTCACAAGCCGGACCTGGCTGCCCACTCCACAGGTGACACTACAGGTGGACCAAGCCTCAGGAATAAACCTGTGAGAGGAAGACAGCAAGGCAAGTGATATCCACAAACAGCCAGGCAAGCAAAAGCAGTATAGTCCTGTCCAGGCCAAGCTGTGTTTAACAAGAAACAAATGCTTCACCTCATCATAGGGCTATTATTAAATACACGTAAGAGCAATGACATATTGTTGACAACTCAACGGCAACAGCAGAAGAGCTCTCAAGTGCATATGTGGAGTGTCTCTTTTCCTCCAGGAAGAAAGATACATGCTTAGAGCACCTGCCTTGATCCTAAAACACGTCAGTGCAAGGCATCCTGCCATCTCCCAATGTGCATCATGATCCCATTAGCTACATTTTGCAAGTATTCAATCTACATCATCTTTGCCTTAGTTTATATCATAATTGTGTCACTAGTAAGTATTGAACAGGCTGCTGTTATCAGCTAGTTGCAGTACTACATGGAAAATAATTTCAATCATTGTTCTTGTATTGCAGTAACCATTTTAAGCCTTATTTTGAAGCAACAAAAAAGATAAAGAACACACCATTTCTTTAGCTGTTTTTTTTTTGTGTGTGGTTTTTTTTTTTTTTTTTTTTTTTTCCCCCTAGCATATTTGATCTCCCTTCTCATTAAAAAAACAGTGTTCCATTTCTATTCTGGATTTCTCTGGCTGTTGCTCTTGTCTCACTGATTAGGGACCCTTACATGCTCCAAATTTTTGCTTCTGAAGGTCCATACATTAATAAAAGTACCTTGCAGCCATCATTACAATAAGCAAAACAGACTAAATTTTTTTTGTTTTCATCAGCAATGGAAAAATTTCTCAATTTTTCATTGTTGTCCCCACTTTTTCAACATCTTAAAAAAACAGTGCTGGAAATTGGCCTAGCATTTTACTCAAAGTAACATCAAACTGAAGGGTCACATTCAACTCCATAGCACATCATTACCTCCTTGTTTAAATGTAACACGCCTTGTTTTGCTGGGCTTATGTTGATCTATGCTGATTCCTAAATCTTCCTGGAAGCAATGGTTCCATGGCACTCCATGGCCTTCATTACTTATGCTTAGATACTTGATGTCGGTGGTATTAAAGCAATGCAGTTATGAGTCTAGGTTACAGGGTGATTCAGATAGCTTGTCTGTCTGTTTTGTCTTCTTTATTGGCCAGTCTACCAAACTTTCTGCCACGGATAAATTCTGAGGCAATGATTGTAGATATACTTCAAGGGCTAGAACAGAAGGGTCCGTAGTTGGATCTGGCACTGATCCCTTAAGAACCTCACAGGAACAGTCCCTATTGATAATGCTCTCCCGTTAACAGTGTTTGGGATCTGTCAGCTCCTTCAGACTCAGAAAGTTTTTTTTTTGTACTGATATTTTTGAGTGCTAATCTAATAAACCAAAAGCTTTTTGTGACAGGGTCACCTGCCTAACAGAATTTATGCCTTTCAGCACCTAATTGTATGCATTAGCTAATTTTATCAAATAAATCAGAGTTTATGGGACGTAGTTTTGATTAAAACATGGCTGTCACTGATGATGTTCCTCTCCTTTTGGTCTTCATTTAGATAGGCCACACCAGACTTGAACAGCTTTGCCAAAACCTGAAGGCAACACACATGCCTGTCTCTTCTATGGTCTAGGGCTACTCAGGGCTATAGGAAACTCATTTCTCGCCTTGAGAATCCCATGAACAGTCTCATAGGAAGGAAAAAGGAAATTTAGTTTTGTGATCAGCATCTTCGAAAGTATTTTTACGCACTTCTGTTTTTCATCTACCTCCTTTCTCTAGTTGACAGACTTTCCCTTCACTCTGGGTTTAAAAAAAGAACACCAAACCAAGACAGGAACCTGGTGGTCCCCCCAGCGTGTATGTGCCAGAATCCCTGACTGGAACAACATAGTCTCCTAGAGCAGAGAGTGTGGATCTCTTTACTCACTTTTTGTGGGTGTTTATAGCATCTTGTTATGAACCTGATATCCACTGCTAGCACTATACACAGGAAGTAATAGAAAGGAAAGAAATGGATTGTATATATTATTGGAACACTTGAAACTGTTTATAATGCTGCTACAAAACCCACAAGATTTCTTTCTGGAGCAAAGCCTTTGAGAAACTAATGATGCAAAGTGATTCCATTTCCCTACTCCAAGACATTTTGTCTTAAAAGATTGGTCTTATTTCAAAGATTATATCCTTCATTTTGAAAGGATTATAGTCTTTAACAGTACAGGTGGGTGACTCATCTTGTTTTCCCTAAGACTGTGCAACTGCTATACTACTAACTTGGTGTTGAAGATCTCCTGTCACAGATTAAACAGTCCATGTCAGCCACTGTGACTTAGAGATTTTGATTAGTCTAAATGTATAGCTTCTTGACCTGACAAACTAAGAAGTAGAAATCCTAGTTAGGTTACAAAAAAAGGCACTGGTCTTCATCAGAAGCTGTCTTCCTTATATTTTTTAACATTATGAATTGTTGTGTAATTTTGCTTTGTTGAAGAGCTGCTGTATTCCAAACCAAAAGGGATGATAATTTGCCAGGTATTAAAATGACTCATTTAGAAAACCAGAGATACTGCATGTGCTCAGAATATTTACACATGATGTATGTCACACATACAAACACAGGAACAAAAGAGAGAGGACATAAAAGGGAAGTAAGAACTTTATTAAAGTAGACTGGATCCTTTTTGAAATGAGGCTTGATCTATAAATGCCACATAGTATATTATTTTACCCTAGTCAGTAACTCATAATGAAAATACTGGAATACTTTCAGGAAATTATATTTTGTTCAGCCTTCTAGGCACAATTTCTACTTTTTAAGTGATAAATTTGAAAGAGTAATTTAATTCTAATATAACTGTTGGCTGCTAAAGAGGTAATTGGTAGAATCAAAAGAGCTGAAAGCAGAAAAAATGGTGGAAAACCCCAGAAAACTCTGCAAACAAAATCTCCATATAGGACTTGTCATTAGATACTGAACATTTATGTAATATGGATATATAATATAAATATACAAAGGTTCTGAATTTTCCATCATCCTAAACCCAGGAAATTACAAAGGCTTTCAAATATATTTGTGGTCATTAATGATAAATGTTGCCAAATGGTGAGAACAAAACACAAAAAGTATTTAAATAACAAGCAGTCAGTTCTATGGGTTTAAAGTTATTTATTCTGCATATTGTACAGCTTTCACTGCACAACATTGCACTTTTCTGTATGCTGAACATCTGAGTCTTCTTTGAAAATGGAAATAGTGCAATAAATTTACTGAGAAGTAGCTTTTTTAGAAAACAGGAAATGATGGAAGTGTTTCAGTTGTCATTGCATTCTGTTTAATTAAATCCCACTGCAATAATAGTCCCTATAATAACAACTTTAATACATAAGACAAACGCAATAACTACTTCTGTTAGCCAGAACCCAACTGTGCTAATAGTTGTACAAATGAAAAATAAAAAGGTGTCTCTTGCCTCAAACAGATTATATTGAGTATTTCATAACATAATATTGACTATTTCATAACTCTTAGCACACTTGTCAGTGATTAGCATGTTGCCATTTCATCAAAGATTGTCTTCTTTTATTCCTCTGCAGAGCAGACAAGACAATGCTTCTTCCCCAAAGCAAAAATACAGCAGTAAGTGCATTCTGAGAGCTCTGATGAATACCTTAAAGAGGAGTCTTTTGCTTCTATTTTAGAGAGATCACTATAACGTGGAGAAGTGAAAGCTGGAAGGAGAGAAAATCATGACTTTGCTTTGTTATGACTGACTTAACTGTGACTGCTGCTACTGAACTGCTGGAGCGCTGATTACATTACAGCACCCAGCTGTGGGACGGCTAAGGGGTCCCTCTGCCTGTCACTCCCCACCAAATGAGCATCTCTGTGGTCAGCAGTGATCTCAAGCAGGAAAAGGAAAAGAGTTGGAATGAAAGAGGGAAAACTCCCCAAAGAAAACTGGGGTTTAAAAATGGATAGTGCTCATGCACAAATGGCTATACTTGTTTCCTTGACCTGTGGGCACTCCTGTGGTGATGGATCAGCAACCTTTCCCCATTATATGAACATCCTTGCAAAACAGTGAGTTCTGGATTTGAGAGGCATTATATTTTTCAGTGTTTTTTGTTAGCTGTTGAGGTTTCACAATTTGCACAAGATTGTGTTCAGCTGAAGGGACTATTGTAGCATCATTAGTCATGTGCACATTAGCCTATACTGGGCTGCATAATGTGTTCTAGGAATGGAGGAAGATGGATGTAATGTCACTGACATTGAAGGACTTCTGCAAGAGTCATTCAGGTGTGGTACTGTGCTGGTTTTGCCTCATTGCTTTTGTAGTGTACCACAATTACTGAAAATACATTTTAGGGGAATTTTAATACGACAGCAAAACCAACTTACTGTATTTGTATGTAAAGCACTTAATACAAAATATTGGTCAAACTGTGAAATACACAGCAGTCCAGCCTTCAGGCTGCACATCCAATGGACCTGCAAGTACAAGTGAACTGCTGTTGTCCAGAGAATTTCAACCACACATGAACACTCAGTAGATACCACTTGCCTAGCTCAATTTTGCAAGGACTATTTGCATTTGTAGATATTATGATTCACACTCACACATGAGAATGTCCCTTTCAGACAACACTTTGTCTAGTGTTTTAAAAAAACCTTCTCTTTAAATTACATAAAGGGAATGTATTTAAAAATCCAGCTTTTGTAGACTAAAATGTGCTATGCAATGATCACTTGCATATAAAGGCAGCAAAAGTGATGTCAAAATTTAAGTTGAGAACAGTGAGGACAATGGCAGTACTTAGTCCTGGGATAATGGCATTTTTTCCTTCAGACTCTGGGCACAGGTCAGGACTGGTGTATGTTCCCTTCCATATAGCAACATATATGTAGCTGGGGAAGTCAGAAGAAGGGAAACACAAAGACAGAGTCAATGGTCAATAATAAGAGACCTTTCCCAGCAGATCATAGTGGGTTCAGGGTGAGAACCATGG